GGCCCCGCCGCCCTGCCCTGCCGCCAGTGCGGGCTGCAGCTGGCTGCCAGCCTGGGGCAGAGCTGCCTGCAGTGCGCTGGCGCCGAGGGCAGCCGCAGCCAGCGCATCGTCTACTCCTGCCAGCTCTGCCCCTTCGCCTCCCACTACTCCAGCCACCTCAAGCGCCACATGAAGACACACAACGGGGAGAAGCCCTTTGCCTGCCCGCAGTGTGCCTACGCCTCCGCCCAGCTGGTGAACCTGACGCGGCACCTGCGCACACACACCGGGGAGAAGCCGTACCGCTGCACGTGCTGCAGCTTTGCCTGCAGCAGCCTGGGCAACCTCAAACGCCACGAGCGGGTCCACAGCCAGGACAAGCCCTTCCAGTGCGCTGCCTGTGACTACCGCTGCAGCCAGAGCCGCAACCTGAAGCGGCACATGCTCAGCCACCGCCTGCCCGAGAGCGACGGACCGCACCGGCGGGACAAGGACCCAGGTAAAGGTGGAGGGGTGTGGGGATGGGGGGAGAGCAGCTGGGAGGGCCCTGGGGCCAGGGCAGGACTCTGGTCCTGCCGTTGACCTGATGCCATGTACTGCCAGGCTCACTGGGGCACCAGGGCTCCTCGCAGAGCCGATCCCCACTGGTGCTGTGCCACCCCGCTCACAGCCCTGTCTGTCTGTCCCACAGAGCCGCTGCTGCCGGAGCTGAGCCTGCACGTGGGCAGCGGCAGCGGCCCCTTCCTGCCCGGCTGTGCGCGGCTGCGGGGCGAGGAGGCGGCCGCGCTGCCCGAGCTACTCTTCCCCTTCACGTGCCGCATGTGCGGGCTGGTGCTGGACGATGGGTTCGCGCAGGACGAGGGCCTGGCTGAGCAGGTCTGCGGGCGCTGCAGCCTGGCAGTGCTGGGCACCGAGCCGGGTGCCAGCCCCCGCAAGGGCGCTGGGGACAAGGGCTTCGCCTGCAGCCTCTGCCCCTTTGTCACCCACTACCCCAACCACTTGGCACGGCACATGAAGACGCACAGCGGGGAGAAGCCCTTTGCCTGCCCGCTCTGCCCCTACGCCTCTGCCCACCTGGACAACCTGAAGCGGCACCAGCGCGTGCACACGGGCGAGAAGCCCTACAAGTGCCAGCTCTGCGACTACGCCTGTGGCAACCTGGCCAACCTCAAGCGTCATGGGCGCATCCACTCAGGCGACAAGCCCTTCCAGTGCAGCCTCTGCAGCTACAGCTGCAACCAGAGCATGAACCTGAAGCGGCATATGCTGCGGCACACAGGCGAGAAGCCCTTCCAGTGCCGGGACTGCTCCTACACCACTGGCCACTGGGACAACTACAAGCGCCACCAGAAGATCCACGGCCACACGGCCGAGAGCTGGGTGAACCCGCGCAATGCCAAAGCCCTCCTGGCCCCCCCGGCCGTGGGCACGGCCCTGCCTTGAGACAGCACTTAGCCCAGTGGCAGGCCTGGGGTGCCTCGGCCCCTGCCCTCCCTGGGGGAGGGAGGACGGGCAGGAGACTCTGCAGGGGCTCAGGGCTGCCTTACGCCAGGGCCTCCAGCAGCCCTGTCCTGCCTGAGCAGGGTGAAGAGCAGGGTGAAGCCACGACCGGCAGCTCAGGCACCTGCCCCCACGGCAGCACTGCCATGCCCCCAGACACCCCACCTGCCTGTTCCTGCCTGTTCCTGCCTGCAGGAGCCTTTCTCTGCTGGGGTTTGGGGAAAGGGGGGGAGGGGAGGACAGGACTGGTTCCATGGCTGTTGCCATGCTGGTCGGTGTAATTTATATTGTGTATAAAAGCATTAAACAGTCACTTTTGTTATTTGCTCTTCTCCCTGGGGGCCTTGTTCTGCCACAGGGAAAGACAGCACAGGGCTGGCACGGGGAAGGTTGGGACAGCGGGCACCCCACAACAAACAGCCCAGTACCAATCAGGATCCATTTTAATCATTGTTGCAGTGTGTAAACATCAGTTACTGTCCATTAATGCTCTGTCGGGCTGAGCAGCAGGAGATACGTGGTTACAAGCCTAGATTACACTGGCATCTATGAGCGGGTTAGAGGGGGCTCAGCACGGAGCCCCCTGAGACAGCTTACTGCACTCTGTCTCGGAGCACAAACCTAAACACTAATTTGGCATTATGGAGCCTGCCCGGGGCCACCCGGAGCAGCTGCCCCCAGGCTGGGCCAGGCCCTCCCAGCTGGGGAAGGGGCAGCTCTACCCCCTGTGCTGAGCCAGGCCCCACGCCACTGCTCCAGGGCTCGGCCCAGGTGCGCTGCTCGGGTCTCCCAGCTGGAGCCAGCAGTGGGAGGAGTTCAGCTGCCCCACCCCGAAGGCAACGGCGGGCTGGGGGTGAGCTCCCAGCCCCAGGGAGCAGGGGAAGGTGGATGTAGCAGGTGAGAGGCACGTTGATTGCAACCTGGCTGCAGGTCGTACATTCCTCAGCAAAGGCCCTCACTTGGGCCGGGGCTGTCCTGGGAAGGGGAGCACTACAGATCCTCATCGCCAATGCCCTCAAAGGCGTAATTGCCGTGGAAGTCGTTAGCACCCACGTCGTTAGCAGAGCTGGAGTGGCTGATCCCACGCAGGCTGACAGAGGTGAGCTTGCTCTGTGGAGAGGGGAGATGTTACAGAGGACCCTCCTAATTCCCCTCCCTGCTCAGCCTGAGGGCACCGGCACCCACACACGACTCACCGAGAGTTTGGCCATGGGCTCCCGGGAGGCATCGGGTGAGTCCTGTGAGGACACGACAGTCAGGAGCTCGGGGTTGTAGGACACAACATCCACCCATCCCACCACCCACCCTCCTGGGATGAGGCCAGGCCACCCTCTGTCCTTCCCTCCCCCAGGGAGTCAGGCTCACCGATGTGGGTCCAGGACCTCTTTCCCTTCCCAGTCATCTGGGAGCAGGGCACCACAGCCCTACTGTCCCCTGGGCTTGCCCCAGCCCTGCCAAGGGGACAGTGGCTTCTCTAGGGGCAGTGGACTCTCTTACCCAACGCATGGAAGAGCCCGTGGTTGTGAATGTGCCCCGCCCAGGCCCGCAGGGCCCCACTCACCAGCAGAGGGGGCGACTTCACAGCTTGCTGGCTGTCCGAGCGCCGCAGGGCCCCGTTCACCCGCCGCCGAAACATCTGCAGGGAGGAGCTCGGCTCAGCCGCAGGGTCCCCGGAGGCAGCTCCGGGGCTTAAAATTGGCCCTGGGGATCTGTCTGCCGGCCCCATCCTGAGGGGAGCACTCAGGGCCCAGCCCAGACCCCAAGAAGTCACAGGGGCAGGTTAGGATCCCACCCCGGAGACACCATCCAGCCCCAACTCTCACCTTGCGGATGCTGCCTCCAGACTTTTTCACCATTAGCTCATCCACCATGGACTGCAGGCAGATGCTCAGCATGATGGCCTGCAAGGGAGAGGTGTCACAGGGCTCCACACACCACACGCTTCCCACATCCACACCAGGCCCAGACTGACCCTTTTCCCCACAGCCACTGCCAGACCAGCATGCAGGCAGCCCTACCTGTGGGCTGGTGATGGTGACCCACTGCAACCGGTCCTTGCTCATCAGGTACTCAAAAGCCAACTCCAGCTTCACCTCGGACTTCCCCGGGCTGCTCCCTGAGGGGCCGTTGCTCATTGGCACCTGCGAGGGCACACACTGAGGCTGGGAACCTCCAGAGGGGAAGTGGCAGCTCCCCAGGCCCCAGTGCAGACCGAGGGCCGTGCTCAGTCAGGTGTGGAACACTTGCGCAGTGCCCACCAGCCTTCTGCCACCATCAGCGCCCCTTGAACATCCTCACACCAACGATCCCCCAAGGCACAACTCGGACCCTCCCCAGGCCTGCTGGGCTGGAAGCCAGCGTCAGAGCCAGCACCTTTCCTGGGGAGAGGTGGCACAGCCAGGTCCCTCCAGCCTCCCCGGAGCCCTCCCTGCTCCCCAGGCGTCACTCACCGAGGACGTGACCCGCCAGCACCGCATGCGCGTGACCTTGAAGCTGCCCTCCTTGATCTGCTCGTTCGGCAGCCGCACCTGGAAGTTGAGCTCGTTGTTGCCAGCGCTGACGACGACGTGGCAGCCCTTCTCTGGGAAGTCGGTGACGCAGGGGTCAAACTTGAGATAGCCGTAGTACTTGAGGGTCTGCGCCAGGCGGATGAACTGCGGGCAGATCCGGGGATGCTCAGCACCGCCGGCCGTCCACCCAGGCCAGGAACAGGTGACCAACCTGGCACCACACAGGAGCAGGGCTGGTGCAGCACCAGGACTGCCCCAGTCATGGCATCACACCCTCCCCTACCTCCTTCTTGGAAACTTTTTCCTGCAAGGACTTCAGCTGCCGGTGCTGTTCCTTGTTGACCACGATCCATCCGTGCTCGATGTCCGACACCGTCTACCAAGCAGCAGAGGCTGGTGAGCAGCTGGGCTCAGAGCCACACAAGCCCACACACAGCCGTGGCTGAGGGGTGCAGTGCCCCTCCTCACCTGGCTGGGCCACACCGACCCTCACCTGCGCATACAGCAAGTTCAACCCCACACGATGCTCCATCACATCGTCATCATAGGCCGAGTCCCAGTAGCTGGAAGAGAACCACATGGGTCAACCTATTCCCCAGCTCCTAACAGCGATGGGGAGAAAATCATCCTCCTGTGGGATGAGGCACCAGGCTGACTCTCTGGCCAGCTCTCCTGTAACCGTTGGTCACTGTGCCCTGCTCCCCCTCTAAACAGGATGCCATGGGATGGGCTGAGCCAAGCAGGGCAGCCCATGCCCCGGTGTCATGGCCAGGTGTGTTCCTGGAGGCCAAAGCCCACGTGGGCAGCAGTGGCAGGAGAGCAGGGTCCCTCTGCTGAACAGGGAGCCTCAGACAGCACCCTACTGCTGCCCCCCGCTCACCTCTTGCGCAGGATGATCCGGAACTCGGGGTTGTGCAGACTGGTGACCGACACATATGGCAGCTCAAACTCCTGCAGCTTCCGCACGACTGTGGGGAAACACCAGGTCAGCAGTGGCTCAGGGCAGCAGTGCCCCCAGACCCCTCAGCCAGGGTGCCTGGGGTACCCGCTGGGCCTCCCATCCAGGGCAGGGTCCAAGCACACAGCCCTCACTCCGGGCAGGGTACAGGGCAGATGTCCACTGCAGTGGGCTCTACTCACAGGAGAAAGCTCCATCCTTGGTCTCTCTCACTAGGAAGAGGCTGAAGTAGCCAACCAGGTCATCTGGCAGATCCAGCTTGGAGGCTACAGCCTGAGAGTGAGAGCAGGAGGTCACCACTTCCCGAGAGAGGTGGCACTCCTGCATCCTGACCCTGCAGTAGGACCCAGCCCATGTGCTTTCTGGGGCCTCTCAACAGCAGGAAGCCAGCACCTCTGCTGCCCTGAGGCCAGGCCTGAGGCGTCACTGCCACCAGGAAACAGCTGGGGGCCCCCTCGACATCAGTGTGGCCCCAGAGACGCCCATCAGCACACCCTTTCCAGCTCCTAGCTCTTCAGTCCCACCAAGTCAACCCTGCTCTGGGGTGGGGATGTGGCAAGGAGGGCCGGGGGGGGCTGCTGGGCTGCGAGAACCCCACACATGTGGGAAACCACAGAATGCAGCAGGAGGAGCTGGTCACACCCAGCATGAGAGCTCTGGCACCTCAAGGACGTCCTCCGTCTGGTCCGAGGTGAGGATGGTGACCTTGACCTTCTGCCCATTGGAGAGCAGCACTTCCAGCACCACCTCCTCCGTAGGGATCTGCTGCGTCTCCTGGAGAGAGAAGCAGGACTGGCACCCCGGCCCCTGGGTGCAGCCTGAGGGCCCCTGCCCTGGCCCCACCCTCACCTGCTGGGCCTTGCGCAGGAAGCTGTTGAAGGTCTCGCTGCCTCCCAGCATCGGGTCCTGCCGCACTGCGGGAAGGGGAGCGAGGAATCAGGAGTCCCTGAGAAGGGACAGGGACCCACACCAGTGCCCAGCCCCTCTGCACTCCTCGGTTTGGCCCCAGACTGTGCTGGGGCAGCCAGGAACCCCTGCAGGGCCCCCCTCTGCCTGCGCAGGGCAGGGGCTGGGACAGCAGCTGGCATCCAGAGGACAAGCCCAGCTAATGCCAGCGTGACACCGGGAGTGCCAAGATGGGCCCTGGTGAATGGAGCAGTTCAGGAGGAAGCCATGGGCAGTGCCTCAGTGCCCTGCACGACTGGGCTGGGACAGGCAGGCCAGCTTACCAGCCTGCATGTACTTCTCCAGCTGCTCCCGTCGCTGCTCTACCTCCGCCGGGGTGAGCGTGAAGATCTTCTTTGGGGGAAAGGCTGGGACCACGTTGGCACCATACTCCTTCCTTAACTGGGAAAAGAGCAGAGTGCTGCGAGAACCTCCCTGGTGGCCCCCGAGCCCCCACCACAGCTGACTCCCAGGGACCCAGCAAGGGGAGCAGAGAGCTCACCAGCATCCCTTAGCCACGTGGGCAACCTGCAGTGTGCAAGAACTCAGTCGGGATGTCACAGAGCAGGAGTGGGCAGCGCAGCTCCCCCCACCCTCCCTACCTGCTCGTGCAGCCCCAGGAGCTGGCTGTAGCGCACCCGGCAGTGCAACACCCCGTTCACGTGGATGTTGTAGGCCTGCAGGGAGAGATGCCAGTCAGATCCCAGCACACGCCAGATGGAGGGGGCCCAGGGTCTGCCCAGCTCGAGGCACACAGGACACCTCAGGGAGCACCCAGGAAGAGGCGATGCCCCTGAGGACCCTGTCAAGGGACAGATTGTCAAAACCATTCAGGAAGAATGAGCACATTCAAGAGATGTATGTGCTGGACACCAGGAAGGCCCAACCCTGTGACTGCCCAGCTACAGGGAGCACAGAGCCATGTTGCAGCCCCACAGACACAAGTGTCCCCAAGCCAGGAGGCAATGCCACCCCTCCCAGCTCCCAGGGCACACCGTGGAGCTGGTTCCTGGCTGTGTCTCTTGGTGCCCCCTCTGCCCTGGCTCAGCTCCCTCTGACGCCACAGGCAGAGCAGAGCTTTGGCTGCCAAGTGCTCTGGGCCCAGCAACTCCACAGCCCAGCTCCCAGCACCATGGGCAATGTCCTCCCAGGGAACAGCACTGTCCCCTCAGCTCCTGCCGTCCTCAGAGCAGTGTTTGGTAGGATGGGAGGATGAGCCTCCAGCCAGCCATGGCAGCCCAGCCTCCTGTGGTTGCCCCCAGTGCCCTCCTGACTGAGTGCTGGGGCTGCCCAGGCTCAGCAGAGGCACTGGCACAGCCACACTGTAGCTCACACTGGCATCTCCCAACTCAAAGGCACCAGCCCGGTGTCTCAAGGTCCCCGCAGAGGGACCAGGAGGGACACGGGTGGTCCAGGCAGCACTCACACCTGCCCAACTCAGGGCCCTCTGTGGGGTCACGGCTCCTGCCCAGTCCCTGGCCTGCTCAAGGGCTCTCCTGAGGTCTCCCCCTGCCCAAAGAGCCACTGTGACTGCCGAGGGCAAAGTGCAGGGGGTCATGGCGTCAAAACGTCTCGGGGGCTGCCTGCTCCTCCAGTCTTGTGCAACCGCAGCTCCTGCGATCGCCAGGTCCCTCCATCGCTGCTCACCACCGCGTCCGTGCCCTTACACCCCACCTCGGGCTCCCAAGGGGAATCCTCCGGAGAGGGATCTCGGCACCGGAGGGTCCCCGCGGGACCGTGGAGCCCAGGGCTGCCCACCTTCACCCCGAGAGCACC